TGGCTAAAATCAAAACCACCTAAGACAATTTATGCTGGAGAGGATGTGGAGAGAGAGACACACTCCTCCACTGCTGGTGGGAGTGCCGACTCATACAGCCTCTTTGGAAATCAGTATGGAGATTCCTCAGGAAAATGGGAATTAATCTACCACTAGACCCAGCAATTCCACTCTTAGGCATATATCCAGATGAGGCAAATTCATACAACAAGGGCATCTGCTCCACTATGTTCATAGCAGCATTATTTGTAATAGCCAGAACCTGGAAGCAACCTAGATGCCCCTCAACTGAAGAGTGGATAGAGAAAATGTGGTACATTTACACAATGGAGTATTACTCAACAGAAAAAAACAATGGAATCTTGAAATTCGCAGGGAAATGGATAGCACTGGAAGAAACCATCCTGAGTGAGGTCACCCAGTCACAAAAAGACAAACATGGTATGTACTCACTCATATATGGATTTTAGACATGGATCAGGATAGTGCCAGTTTGCACTTCCACTGATAGAGAGTCTGGGAAACAGGAAAGAACCTAAAAGATATGCATATATGCATAGTACCCAAGAGAAGAGGATGGAGACAAGATCCCCTGAATGGATGGGGAACACGGCGAGGGGGTGGCGGGGAGTGGGACCTGGGAAGAAGAGAGGGGGGTGAAGAGGAAGATATTTGGTCATGGGGGAAAAGGAAGTTGAGGGGGTGGGGGTAGGATAGGGGGAAGAGGGAATCATAGGATCGAATACAGATCAGGCACCAGAGCGACCTCGAGTGATCTAAAGGGATAACACCAATTGGCAAGCTAAGCAATAGTGGAGAGACCACCTCGAATGCCCATTCCTGATAATGAACTTGATGTCTATAACCATCCGGGAGCCTTCATCCTGTGACTGATGGAAGCAGAGGCAAACACACAATTAATCACTGAACTGAACACAAGAAATCCAGTGACAGAGAGAGAGGAGTGATGAGCAAATTGGCAAAGAATGGGCTGGCAAAACCAGCAGAGACAGCTGATCTGAACAGGGGAGAGCTCTTGGACCCCAGACTGACAGTGGGGAGGCCAGCATGGGACTGATCTGGAACCCCCAAATGTGAGTGTCAGCGAGAAGGTCTGGGCAACCTATGGGGCCCTGAGCTGTGGATCAGTGTCTATCCCTGATATACAAAGAGTCTTCGTGTGCCTATAGCACAAAGAGGGATGCTCTCTCAGCCTGGACTCTTAGGGGAGTGCCTGGACCCTACCCAGAGTAAAATGACAGACTCTGATATCCCCTATGTGGAAGGATTTGGCAATAGGGTGGGAGGGTGGGGGGGAAGGGGAGTGGGGGAGGAGGGGAGGGAGAGGGAACTGGGATTGACATGTAAAACAAGCTATTTAAAAATTTAAAAAAAAAGGTAAAATAAAAAAAAGATGAGGAAACAATTAGTTTCACCATCATGAGTTATAAATCAAAAATATTAGAAATATATTTTCTTTTTTGATATTTTTTATTTTTAAATTTAAATTAGAAACAAGGTTGCTTCACATGTCAATTCCAGGTCCCTCTCTGTTTCCTTCCCCTCCTCCCATGCCCTCCCACCAATCCCCCAATATCCCCTCATTTCCCTAGGGAGGGTGAGGCCCTCCATGGCGGTGTCCATAGTCTGTCATTTCATCCAGGACAGGGCCTGGACCCTTCCCCCAAACCTCTTTTTTTTTTAAACTAAGAATTTATAAAATTGTCTGACCTACATGGTGGCTACAAAAAATAAGCTTTTCAAGTTACTTGTGCTCAAGTTTTGTTATTGAGGCCAAACACCATACTTCCTTCCCTGAAGACAACTGTTTGTCTCTTGGGCTGACACTTAATAGTTGTTCTAAGCCCACCCAGTTCCTCTAAGACCCCAGGGAAGGCCTGTGAGAATATACTCATAATTTCTTCCCTTCCTCAGATACCAGCCAGTATGCTATGATTCCTGATGTACACCTTGTTATGATATGTGGCACAAGGGGGACTTTGGCAGGTTCCACAGTGGATAAGAGAAAAATACACCATGAAGGCAGAATGTTATGTTATTTGGGTGGGACCTTGGCAGAAAGCCCTACCTCAGGTGAGGGACAAATAACCCATGCAGACAAAACTAAAAGCAGGAACTTTTATTGGGAGTAGGGAAGGGAGTTGAGAAAGCAAAGAGAGTCAGGAAAAGGGAAGGGAGAGTGTGAAGAGATAAAGAAAAAGAAAGAGAGAAAGAAAAGAGAGACAGAAAGAGAGAGAAGGAAAAAAGAAAGAGAGAGCCAAAGACATGCCTGTCTTTTCAGAGGGACAGAGGAGAGAGAAGGAGTAGCTGGAGATTGTCTCTTAAAGGAACCTATTGAGGCTGAATCCAGAGCTAGGGTACTGCTTGCCATGTGCACAGGGGTAATGTACTCTGCCAGGTCCCCAAGGGGTGGGGCCAAGCTGTGCCTGGATGCTAGTACACATATGCATAAATCTTGTTTTCTCTCAACTCAAAGAGACAAACAGATAAGAGTTTAAAATTCCCTTTTCTCTTTAGCAGAGTCAAACTTCTTGAAATATCTAAAAACAGAGTTGTGAACCTACTAGCCAGGGCTTGATCAGGTAGAAACCCAGACTCACGTGTACGCAGAGTTTCCTGTGTCTGTGTCTGTGGTGAACCCACATTTCGAGAGGTAATAATAGAAGCTGGTCAGGACATGTTTTTGGGGAGACATTTGGAGAAGCTGTGAGTTGAGTGTATTTCCCCCAGAGCTACACATTTATTCAGCATATCATGTTGATATTCTTGCTTGAACATCAATGTGACAGTAAGAAAATTGACTCTATTTTATCCACAGCCAGGAGCCTCATTAGCAGACACACAATACAAAGAAACCCCAACAGCCAACCTCAGAAATTAACTTCGAATGTGTTACCAGTTGCACCTCAAAACTGCTTAATGATTACTCAGTTATAACACTGTAACTTACCCTTCATCATTGGTCCTGAAGGAAGTGAGCACTGTTATCATAGGGAAGATTCTGCCCACCCTTGTAGCAAACTTCTTCATGAGACATTATAGGGAAAGAAAAGGAGAGCAAAGTGGTTCAAGGCATTTTGCATTTGTAAGAGCTTTAATCCCATACCTTTAACAGATGTTGGAGCATGGCAGATGGCAGAATAAGGGTTTCCCAAAATGTCCAAGTCCTAATTTTCAGCATACTAGCTTCATTATAATTGATGATGATGTCACTTTATACAATGAAATGTTATTTTGTAGATATGATGAAGATTGATGACTTTGATATGGAAACAGTATCCTCAATGATCCTGTTGAGCACAATGTGAGTACATGAGTAAAAATAAAAGGGAAGGCATATATATGATGGCTCTGAGTCTTATGTAAGAATTTCATCAGTGGTTATTACCTTTTAAAAGAGTAGGGATTAGGAGGAGATACCTGAAAGCACAAGAATTAGCCTTAATTGTATAGGCAGCAAGAGAACATGAGCTGAGACCTTACAGCAGCACAGAAGTCAATATGACCAATAGCCCAAAGTAACAAGAAAATGCACTCTACAAAATAGTGTCCAGCTCTGTCAACATAGACTATAGCCCTAGAAGACTTATAGAGTATTCTGGCATACAGAAATGTAACAACATATATCTCTAAGGTTTTAAGCTGCTAACTGTGGATTTGTTACAACAGCAGTGGTAAACTAGTATAGGCACAGTGAAGAATAGAGATGTAGCTAATGTTACATACCCAGTTGTGACACAGCTAGGAGGCATCCCGGGGCATGAGGGGGTAGGGGAGTTAATTGACTACCTGTTGGTTATATATCCCAACTATTGAAATCCAAATTAATCTCTAGGGCCTCTGAGTTGTTCCCTTATTCTGGCTATTAAGACTTTTGGAAGTGATCTGAAGTGATCATACTTCCTGACTATGTTTCCTATAACTTGTCTCACTATCAATAATAGACACTCAAAGAATAGCACTGTTCCTTCTATAGATGGGTTTATAGTTAAAGACTAGGGTTTAATAGAATAGCTAAGTAATGGGGCCAAAAAAAATCAAGAATCAATGAGTAAATGATTTGTCAAAATAGATGAAAATGAAGCTATAGTGTAGTGACTCATGCTTGTGAATGTATCACTTCGGAGACTTAAGTAGGAGGATCACCATGAGTTCAAGACCAGCCTTGTCTATCTAGTGAGTACTTGACTAGCCAGGGCTACTTATCAAGACCCTACCTAAATAAGCAAGTAAACAGAGTTGAAGCTGCCAAGTTCAAGAGAATTTCATACATTCTTCCTTCATTTCCTCAACATACAATTAAGAAATCCTGGGGCTGGAGAAATGGCTCAGCAGTTAAAACCACATACTGCTCTGGTGAAGGACAGGAGTTCAGTTCTCAGAACCAACATTAGGCAGCTGTAACTCTCAGTAATTCCAGCTCCAGGACATCTGATTTGCTCTTCAGGCACCTGTGCACAGTTACACAGATACAAACATACACACATGTATAGACATGAACAAAAATACAAGTAAAATATTTGAAAAGCCCTTGAAGCAGAGGGAGTTGCAGGGATAGCTCACTGTTTAAGAAAATTTGTTGTTCTTGCAGAAGATCTGATTTTGATGTCTACAATCCACATGGCAAGTGACAATCTTCTATAACTGCATTCTAAGTTGATGCAATGCCTTCCTCTGACCCTATGGCTGCCACATACCTACATGTTGGTAGAACACTCATACACATAGAACAATAAAATATATAAATCTAAAAGCAACAACAACAAAAGCATTTTAAAGTAGGGCAGTGGTGGTGCATGCCTTTGATTCCAGCACTTGGGAGGGAGAAGCAGGTAGAGCTCTGTGAGTTCCGGTCTAAGAAGACTACACAGAGAAATTCTTTTTCAACAAAACGAAGCAAACAAACAGAAGACATCAAACAAGCAAAAACATTGTTGAAAGAACGGAATCCTAAGATTCAGGAGGTTACAGGTCCCATTCTTAGCAAAGTGTCTTCTGAACACTGGCCCAGCACATTCCTAGTTTTCATTTCCTGTGCACCAGAATGTGACACTTTCGATGCTGTATGGAAGAAGATGGATGCTGAACACAGATTGTGAAAACTGGGACTGACACCACCTGTGCATATGCATTCCTGAAAACACTCAGAGGACAACACCTGTCCCAAATTGCTACCTGTTTATTTAAATTAGAAACAAGCTTGCTTCACATGTCAATCTGAGCTCCCTCTCCTACCTTTCCTCATCCAACACCCACCAACCCTCCATCTCCCACCCAATTCCCACTCTGCTCCCAGGGAGGGTGAGGCCCTCCATGGAAGATCTCCAAAGTCTTTCCTATCGTCGGGACAGGGCCTAGGCCCTCCCCCATGTGTCCAGACTGACAGAGCATCCCTCCATGTGGAATGGGTTCTCAAAGTTCATTCGTATGCAAGGGATAAATACGGAGATCTACAAACTGCTGCCTTTTAATCTCTCTTCGTGTTGGATCAAATGGACCCCAGACAATCAGGTACTTTCATTCCCTCTCAAATATGGTGAAGCACTTTCGAAGGAACAGGATGGGGCCATCAGGAATCCTGATTGTGCAGATCTGGGCTGAAAGTAGTTGGCTGAAATGCTTAGATTACAACATTTCTAAGTGTGGCTTAGAACCCAAGTCTAACTAGATCACTGGTTGGTCTGTTGGCTTTTGTACACTCTAATATTTTATTGTTAACCTGCATGTGTTTTAGTAAAACCTTCCTGGACTACTAGAAAAGAATTTGGAATGAAATGATTTCTTGATTGCCAGTTTCATCAGCATACACTCTTCTATGGATAGAAGAATCAGAGACACCAGTTTTGAGTGGACATGTGATTTAGATAAAGAGCATTGCTGTTGTAGCCATCCAGGGTTTGTCTAGAGGGTCCCCTGGGGGTCTCATGCAGCCAGCAGCAGGTTGAACTGCCACCTGCTTTCCTGCATACACTTGGGGTGAGATTTCCTGTAAGAACATTTCTTTGTGGTTTTTATATACTTTATTTTTATAAACTGGCTACACCTCCTCCATTTCCTTGAACAAAAGAACCCATTCCCTCCTTGGACAAAGGATGGATGATCAAGAACAATTTTAGAATGGGAATAAACAGACTCATAGAGTCTGGACATTTAAAATATCAACTTTTATCCATAAGAGGTCAAAATCTTATTTCTTTTCTCTCTTTTCTTATCCTGCCTTGCCATTTATACTTCTTCCTGGTAGTTTCTTCTGGAAGGCCAGGAGGTGAGTTAGCTGTGTCTCCTGGGCTGTCTGAAAGCACAGCTTGTGCCAGGCTGGTGGCATCTAGCAGCACAAGATGCAGACTGTTGTACCCCAGCATTCCAGGGACTCCTGCCTGCTCTGTAGAAGCAGTAAGAATGGCTGGGATCTCAAGGGTGAGGGTCACAAATCAAACTGTCATTGCTCTCACAGGCTTGGCCCAGGTGGGCAGTCCCAAAAGACAGCTGATTCCAAGAGAGTATTTCTACTCTGACAAAACCCATGAGGCAACTATTTTGTGAATTGATTGAATCTTGCTTTTGCGTCAGGAAGAAAACTTGCAAAATTATACTCTAGGCAGTGTTGACCCAGCATCAAGCTGGGCCTGGATTTTGATTTTGTTTCTCTTGTTAATTAGGTGAACCACTTTGGGAAAATGTCTTAATCTCCCTTGGTCTGTTTTTCTCTCTGTAAATTGAGAAATGATGGAACCAAGAAGGAGGAAGTGGAGGTTTGACGTCTGGATTTAGTTTGCACATGTATTGAACTCTGAGCTATTTTTTTTCTCTCTTTCAACAAAAATAGGAGTTTCAGTGTCTGTCACTGGGGCAATGGCCAGCCAGGCTCTCCAGCTGTGTTTTGCCTTAAATTGAGTTTTACTCCTCTCTCTTACCTCTTGGGTCCTGGGAACATTTTAATTGGCAACACCTGTATGAAACGATCTTGAGGTCTATTTCTGGTTTCAGTAGTTTCTAATTCCCTGATTCTAAGCCATGTAGGACTGAGAAAAAAAGAGATGAACTAGATATTCCTGGCATGTGTTTATAAGGATGCTGTGTTCTGGGGTACTCATCACCCATCCCATTTCATATGGCTAAAAGCTTCTGTGTCTAGGGAGAACTCTTTTTTTTTTTTTGAGTCTTTTTTTTTTTCTTCTCCAGATTTATTTTGGTAAAAAAAAATCAGATATAACCTTTCAAAAATTACATTAATGTTTAACATGCATTCAAATAACTTTCTTTTTTTTCCAGTTTAAATTTAGATAAGAAATGAGGTTGCTTCACAAGTCAGTTCCAGGTCCCGCTCCCATTCCCTCCCCTCCTCCTAGGGAGAACTCTTACCAGCATTGTTGTTTTGGTGGGAGTTTGGTAAATGATTCAATGCCACATAAAAGAGGAGACTGTGGCTAGTGGTGACCAAGGAAGTTGAATGTTTTTTGGAAGAATTTGGTTTGCAGAAAGGAGACTGGCAGGGCATGTATGCATCTCTACCTAATTGTGCTAGTATTAATAAAACATCAGGAGTCAGAAATTGAGAAAAAAACCTGACAAATCCAAGAAACAGAGGAAGGATGATAGCCTGACCCTGCTCTCCATGTTTTCCACATCCAAAAGCCCCACAAATTATCTCCTAGCCCCTCCTCTCTTCCTCTCCCTCCCTATCTGACTTCATCAGTCCTCCAATATCTTTATTGCTAATCTCAGTCACCCAATCGCTGACTCCGGAGTCCTTTCTTTGATTTAAGGTAACTTTTTTTTTCATTTTTTATTTTAATTTTAAATAGCTTGTTTTACATGTCAATCCCAGTTCCCTCTCCCTCCCCTCTTCCCGCACTCCCCTTCCCCCCCCTCCCTCCCACCCTATTGCCAAATCCTTCCACATAGGGGTTATCTAGAGTCTGTCATTTTACTCTTGGTAGGGTCAAGGCACTCCCCTAAGAGTCCAGGCTGAGAGAGCATCTCTCTTTGTGCTATAGGCACATGAAGACAGTTTGTATACCAGGGATAGACACTGATCCACAGCTCAGGGCCCCATAGGTTGCCCAGGCCTTCTCACTGACACTCACATTTGGGGGGTCCAGATCAGTCCCATGCTGGCCTCCCCACTGTTGGTCTGGGGTCCAAGAGCACTCCCCTGTTCAGATCAGCTGTCTCTGCTGGTTTTGCCAGCCCATTCTTTGCCAATTTGCTCATCACTCCTCTCTGTCACTGGGTTCCTTGGGTTCAGTTCAGTGATTAGTTGTGTGTTTGCCTCTGCTTCCATCAGTCACAGGATGAAGGCTCCCGGATGGTTATAGACATCAAGTTCATTATCAGGAATGGGCATTCGAGGTGGTCCCTCCACTATTGCTTAGCTTGCCAATTGATGTTATACCTTTAGATCACTCGAGGTCACTCTGGTGCCTGATCTGTCTTCGATCCTATGATTCCCTCTTCCCCCTATTCTACCCCCACCCCCTCAACTTCCTGTTCCCCCATGACCAACTCCCTTCCTCTTTACCCCCTCTATTCTTCCCAGGTCCCACTCCCCCCTCCCCTCGCCGTGTTCCCCATCCATTCAGAGGATCTTGTCTCCATCCTCTTCTCTTGGGTACTATGCATATATGCATATCTTTTAGGTTCTTTCCTGTTTCCCAGACTCTCTATCTGTGGAAGTGCAGACTGGCACTATCCTGATCCATGTCTAAAATCCATATATGAGTGAGTACATACCATGTTTGTCTTTTTGCGACTGGGTTACCTCACTCAGGATGGTTTCTTCCAGTGCTATCCATTTCCCTGCAAATTTCAAGATTCCATTGTTTTTTTCTGCTGAGTAATACTCCATTGTGTAAATGTACCACATTTTCTCTATCCACTCTTCAGTTGAGGGGCATCTAGGTTGCTTCCAGGTTCTGGCTATTACAAACAATGCTGCTATGAACATAGTGGAGCAGATGCCCTTGTTGTATGAACCTGCCTCATTTGGATAAATGCCTAAGAGTGGAATTGCTGGGTCTAGTGGTAGATTAATTCCCATTTTCCTGAGGAATCTCCATACTGATTTCCAAAGAGGCTGTATGAGTCGGCATTCCCACCAGCAGTGGAGGAGTGTTCCTCTCTCTCCACATCCTCTCCAGCATAAATTGTCTTCGGTGTTTTTGATTCTAGCCATTCTGACAGGAGTAAGATGGTATCTCAGAGTTGTTTTGATTTGCATTTCCCTGATGGCTAAGGATGTTGAGCACTTTCTTAAGTGTCTCTTGGCCATTTTAGCCTCCTCTACTGAGAATTCTCTATTTAGCTCTGTACCCCACCTTTCAAGTGGATCCTTTGGTGTTTTGGAGACTTGTTTCTTGAGTTCTTTGTAAATTTTGGAGATTAGCCCTCTGTCAGATGTAGGGTTAGTGAATATCTTTTCCCATTCTGTGGCCTGCCTTTTTGTCTTTTTGACTGTGTCCTTTGCCTTACAGAAGCTTTTTAGTTTCAGAAGGTCCCATTTGTTAATTGTCGATCTCAGTGCCTGTGCCACTGGTGTTATGTTTAGGAAGTGGTCTCCTGTACCAACTCGTTGAAGAGTATCTCCCACTTTCTCTTCTAAAAGTTTCAGTGTGGCTGGATGTATGTTGAGATCTTTGATCCATTTGGACTTAAGTTTTGTACAAGGCGATAAACATGGATCTATCTGCAGTCTTCTGCATACCAGTACCCAGTTATGCCAGCACCATTTGTTGAAGATGCTTTCTTTTTTCCACTGTACAGTTTTAGCTTCTTTGTCAAAAATCAGGTGTTCATAGGTGTGTGGGTTAAAATTAGGGCTTTCGATTCGGTTCCATTGGTCTACCTGCCTATTTTTGTGCCAATACCAAGCTGTTTTCAGGACTATAGCTCTATAATAGAGCTTGAAGTCAGAGTATGGTGATGCCTCCTGAAGTTCCTCTATTGTATAGGGATGTTTTGGCTATCCTGGGCCTTTTGTTTTTCCATATAAAGTTGATTAATGTTCTTTCCAGGTCCTTGAAGAATTGTGATGGAATTTTGATAGGGATTGCATTGAATCTGTAGACTGCTTTTGGCAAGATTGCCATTTTTATTATGTTGATCCTACCAATCCAAGAGCATGGGAGATCTTTCCATTTTCTGGTATCTTCTTTGATTTCTTTCTTCAAAGACACAAAGTTCTTGATATACAGGTCCTTCACTTCCTTGGTTAACATTATCCCCAGATATTTGATGCTGTTTTTGGCTATTGTAAAAGGTGATGTTTCTCTGATTTCTTTCTCAGTCACTTCATCTTCTGTATATAATAGGGCCACTGATTTTTTTGAGTTTACCTTGTATCCTGCCACATTGCTGAAGGTGTTTATCAGCTCTAGGAGTAACCTTGCGGAGTTTTTTGGGTCACTTATGTAAACTATCATATCATCTGCAAATAGTGAAAGTTTGACTTCTTCTTTTCCTATTTGTATCCCCTTTATCTCCTTTTGTTGTCTTATTGCTGTAGCTAGAAC